CTTATCTATGTTATGTCCAGTTTTGTTGCAACCTTCGCATGTGATTGAAATATTTTGAGGTGGATAATTTTTTAGTGCTTGTAGTTTCCTACATTCACTTGCTGTGTGACCTATATTTTTGCAATAAGCGCAGAATTTTTTCCTTTGATCATTGTTAAAATTGTTTCTGTATCCGATGTTGTGGTTTCTATTGTAAGTGTTATAGTTTTGCTGATTTTGCTGAGGGTTTGCAGATTGTTGTGTATTCGCGATTTTTCTGCAGTACTTTGCTGTGTGACCTAATTGATCACATAATTGGCATTTGTAACTTGATTTATTTCTTTGTTCTGTGAAATATATTCGTGCTTCTTCACAATCTTGTTCTTCGTGTCCCTGTTCTTGGCATAGGGTGCATATTCTATAAGGTGATCTATTTTTACCTGTTGTGCAAAATTTGATAGAGTGACCTTTTTTATTGCATTTTTTACAAAAGACCTCAGGGCATTCTTGCGTTGAATGACTTCCTTCGTCACAAATATCGCGTTTATTTACCTTTTGTGTGATCTTATTTTTACACTTAATGGCTTCATGTCCTGTTTCTCCACATTTCCAGCATTTTATGTAGTCAGCAATGTAGGGGCATTGACCTACCTCATGTCCTAATTCTTGACAGTATTGGCAATGGATATTTCTTCGTTTATTGAGTGGGCAAGCGCTTATTGAGTGTCCTTTTTGGCTGCAGTATTTGCATATCAAATTGATTTTGTCTACTGAATTTTTACAATTATCAGAAAAGTGATCTGATCCTTTACAATAGGCGCATGCTGCAGAATGGCAAAATAGTGCTTCGTGTTGAGGGTCATGGCAAATTTGACATATCATGATTTTTTTTGGTAATTCAGGTCTATAATAATCATTGTATTCTGCATATGTGTTATTAATTGTTATATTATCTGTTGTTTTTCTAATATTTATGTCATTTTCAACTTCTATGGCTTTTTTGGACATTTCTTGTAATGTTGTCTCATTGCCCAGTTCGTATTTTATTTCCGTTCGCATTCCTTTTTTAAAACATTTTGCTGCGTCCGCATCTAATTCTTCGTAGAAATTCTTCCTGGCTATTTCATTTGTTTCTTGTATTCTATATATTTCTTTTATTTCTAATACCAATTGACATAATCTATTTGTGTATTGGATAACTGATTCTGTAGTTCCTTGTGTTATTTTGCGTATCCTAGCACGCAGTTCGTGTATGTCTTCTTGAATTGGGTACAGACTTCGTATTGCTGTAATTAATTCGTCTATTGTTTCTACACAGCTGTTTCCTAAAGCTTCTTCTGCCTCTCCCTTCATTCTCACTTTCAATAATTCTACTACATTATGTTCATCTTGGTCATCTACTAAATTTTTTACTCGTCGTAGTCTTCTGATGTACTTTGCGGGTGGCATATTTTTGCCATCGAAGTCCGGAACATAATTTACCAATTCTTTGAGTGATAATTTGATTGGGTGTGAATTTGCCATGTTTATTGGGTTTGTTGCTGGACTTGTGATACGTTGGTTTTCTTGAATTTGTCTTTGAATTTGCTGAGTGTTTCTTTCACTCTCCTTTTCGTTTATGTATTGTGTTTTGTTTATTTTTCTAATGTCTTTTTTTGAATCTTCGATGTTCTGTTGTTGGTTAATAGGTTCGTCAGAGTTTTTTGGTATTGCGTATTTTGTGTAGACAGATTCTTCGTTTGTGTTTATGCTGAATAATATATCTATTGGTGTCCCTAATATTAGGCTTTGTTCACCTAAAAATCCTCCAATGTCTGAATATCTATCGTGTTTTTCTGAGTCAAATGTGTCAAACGTCTGGTCTAGTAGTGAATATTTATCTGAATCAGTGCAGTCTGTTTTATTTGTTTGTTTTTCTGTTAAATCAACTAATTGGTCAACTGTTGGTATGATTTTCTTTATTGCTCCTGTGTTTTTTCCTTTTCTTACGATTTCTTCTTGAGTCTTGGTCTTAATCGGCGATCTTTGTAGCTTGTTACACTTTTTGAAAGCTATCTCATCCAGTCCTTTTTCTAAAAGGTCTTCTAATTTTGGATTCTTGTCGATTTGTGATCGCGTAAGTTTCCTAATTATGGAGGATGTGTCCTTCGTTGTATTGGACTTCTTGCTCATTTATCGCACTTTCGTAATAAACGGAATAAACAAAGGTAATTCGACAAAATCAAAATAGAGTGAAGCAGGGAAAATATATAAAATAAGAAAAATTATTGTTAGCAAAAAAAAAAAAATTATGGTAGAAGTATATGGAAACACAATTGCTTATTGAGATGGCAAAAATAAAAGGGGAAAAAGAAAAGAAAAAAAAAGGAAATTCTATCTACGTATGGTTTTTGACCTACTGGCTGAAAATTATTTCTCGGTCACTTATTTCTGCTGTTGTCTTAGTTTCATAATTTTGCAAGATTGCAATTTTTGAAATTCGGTCACTATGAAAGAAAGTGACGTGTGCTGTTTACTTCTGTAATACAACACCTACTCGTATATCCGCGGTTTTCGAACTCTCTTTTTTCCGTTTGATGCGTTAATTCATTAATAAGTTTTAATATGTATAAAAATAATTTTCTTTATCTCAATCAAATGTATTTTTCGTACCGGAACCAATTGCTACGTCTCGTGCATCAACTACGAATAGCTAATGAATGAGACGTTCCAATATGTTGACTAGTGGTCGGATATGTCTCACTTATAATAATAATATGTGGAAATGTATGTCTGATGATTGTACTACCTTTAATTGTTGATAAAATGTAGCAGGCCCTAACTGCTTGTTGATTGTATGAGTGTAGCAGGCTCTAACTGCTTGTTGAATTGAATAAATGTAGCAGGCTCTAACTGCTTGTTGAATTGAATAGGATAGGTTTGAATAATTCTTGCACGATATTACTTGTAACAGTCGTGAGTTTATTAAGAAAAATGATCACCAATTGTCGGACCGGTGTGTACGGAGTAAAGATAATTTCTGCTCACCTTTCGGGTGGTTCGTCTTATATACATAAATTTGTGCTTAATAAATCGCTGATGTTTCTTGTGTAGTTGAGTAATTTTCTTTTTGAGTTCATTGTGTGTTGTGTAATGCTGAGTATGGTCTTTGTGTTTTGCTGCTGTATCGTTTTCTGGTGGACGTGTATATAGTTTTGATTTTACGAAATTCGGGATTGCACTTTTAAAGAATGTAAATAAGTAAAGATACGTCTTGAGACGTAACACTAACATAACTTTGTTATACCGCGGGTAAATCTTCAATTATTTCTTGGAGGTAGTACCGTAGATAACACAAATTAAGAAAATCATCCTGTGATCCTATGGTTTGAGTATCTCTTGGTCTTTCAGATTATTAATCTGCCATAGCAGGACTTGTCTTCAGTATTAAGAGCGCGAGTAAAACGTTGATGCCACAATCTTTCCAGCAAATTCGATTCAAATAAATCGATCTTCTTAGCTCCCGATTAGAAGCCATGCAATAAATGCTCCTTGTACATGAAGCACGCAAGAGGTAAGTTCGTTTAAAGTAATAGAAAATTTGCTCACACTTGATAAGCACTCATGCGAACCTTCTAAAGTAGGAACGATGTTACTCTCATCTAACTATCATACTTACTAGAGCGAGAAAGAGAGAGAGAAAAAAAAAGAGAAAGAAAGAGAGAAAGAAACGAAACGGCTTGAGTTTAAAAGGCGGCGCTTCTACCTTGCTATGATGCCTCTGCTGTTGGCTTAGTGACGGTCAGTGATTATACCTGCTGCTGCTACTGCTGAGTTAATAGCGATCGACCATTCGTGGTCGTCATAATCACCTCCTTGAAGACATAACGTCTTCTATTACTGATTACACGAGCGAGTACGTATTTATTACATTTACAACGATGGAGAATCAAACAATAAAAACCGCTAAAGAAGACAACCTAAATCAGTGATGATTCCGTAAGCAGCTCTCGTTGCTACTATTATTTTTACTGTCATTGAAAGCGCTGCTCTTTCGGTCCAGCCACGTTTCTATACTCTTTCCCTATCTCTCTCTTGCACGCTGATTTATCCTCTTCTGTATATATCATGGCTGTCAGACTTTTTTTCACGCTCAGTTCCCCAAACGGAAAACCAAACATGAATGTATAACAACACACATACTCACAGCTTGCTAACGGTAGCTGATGGCGGTTAAGACCGGAAAAAATGGTGGTACGGCTTAATGAGCTATTTCCTATTACATCTTGTCAATAATTGGACCTATATTCCTTTTCCATCATAATTCCGATTTCTCTGTTTATTTTTATTTTCATTAATTACGATTACAGATTGGACATTGTTTTCTAGATCATTCTATACGAGTTGCTAATCAAATAACGTTACTACGCACCCATCTTCAGGTATGGATAAATTTAATTTGAACAAATAAGTCGATTAAATTTCTAATTATTTGCTGATCAATCAATTCATTTCACAATACAATTACTTATTTTTTAAGTAAATATGCATGGATTCATATTATATCGATTCATTTAAGTAACCTAATTCCACAATCGATTGTAAGGTTACATAGACATAGTTTTGTAGTAACAATCAGGGTAACTAAATTTAGAAAATTATAGCAATATACTGGGGAAGAAAATATTTACATATTAAGAAGGTACAATAAGTTATAATAATTATACAATTTATAAGAAGAAAACATGAAATTAATTACTTCTTATTGCAAAATATGTAATATAACATGCAATAACTTCAATTTGAATTAATGTAATTCTAAAATTTAGTTTGAATCACAGTTTCTTGTATCTTTAAATTATTTTGTAATTTATTCTGTATTTATTTATTTAGTCAATTAAATCAATAAATAAAAATCAAATGGTTATTAACAAATATTAACCGACCTTTAACTTTTTGACAATATGAGTTCCGTACTATATTTTTTAATTTCATCTATTTTATAAAATTTATATATCAAAACATAGAAACAATATTTGTACCTTCGAAAATCTCTACTCCAACATGCGTATATTACAGGGTTCATACCACTATTGATCCAACCCAGCCAAGAGACTGCTGCTGAAACGACATCTTCTTTCCAAATACATCTTGCACAGAATCCAGACCATAAATTTACTACAAAAAATGGTAACCAGCATATTATAAAGACACCCATCACGATACCCAACGTTTTTGCAGCTTTTTTTTCTTTAGAAAACTTAGCAATTTTTCGTGACAAAGAAAAATTTTTCCCGGGAATAGGCCAATTTTCTTTGCAGCTATTTTTTAAATACAATGAGTCTGAACATTGTGTATTTCTTTGGATAATTGATTCTTTGTTAAAATTACAAATACTTCTTGCTGGTATCGTGACTTTACAAATTGGGTGATTTTTTTCAACTGTTTTTCGAAATCCACCGCCGCGATGCATTCGGAGTGTCAATTCGTGTTCTCCTGAAGCAATCATAACTTGTTTTGTTCCAACCTTCAAACTTTGGTTTTGCATGGATGCTTCTCGATAAATCTTATAATAAGTAAATACCATGACAAATAGAGGTAAATAAAAACTAATAGTCGATGAAAATATAATATATTCCAAGTTTATCGTGAAAGGGCATTTATCTTGTGGTATGTAATCCTTCCGTACCACACGCCACCAAATAATAGCTGGAAACGATATAAGGCTCGATGCTAACCATACAAAAGTAATAAGTATAAGAGCTAGCTTTCGAGTCATTCTAGATGGATAGATAAATGGATCTTTGATAGCCCAATATCGATCGATGCTTATAACACATAAATTTAGAATAGATGCTGTGGAAAAAAGTACATCTAAAGATCTCCAGATATCACACAAATCAAGCGTAAAAAGCCAACGTTTCTTCAAGACTTCATATATAGCACTAAATGGCATAACAACAAGACCCACTAGACAATCAGCAAATGCTAAAGATGTAATAAAATAATTCGTAGCTGTATGCAAATATCTTTCTCGTACGACTGCTACAATAACAAGTGAATTACCAAATACTGTAGACAGTGAAAATAATAAAAGCAAAATCCCCAAACAAACTCGTTCACTGCTTAATTCAATAAATTCAGAAATTGTATGATTTTGAGTCACTCGGACATCTTCTAGATTACTATCTTCTAATATTGCGAGTGATGTAACATTTGTCATTATGCTTAAATTTGCAGACATTTTTCATTAACGTGGTTCCACAGAGGTAGCAAGTTATATAAGTAAGTAGTATTCTAAGATTATTCATCGTATTTTGTTAACAACTATTCTCATTTCTCTTGAAATTTTGTGATACCTGAAAATTATAAATATATATTTATGTAGATAATATAAATAAAGTATGTAAATCAAAACATTACTTTTTCTACTACTTCGAAGGAAAGTGGTTACAATCGTTTAGTCAAGTAGTAAGTCACTATAATATTTACCCTATTTGTCAGTAAATTGACAAAAAATGGTTTTAATAACCCAATAAACATCACATCAATCCAAACTTACTTGCATAGAGATTCTACTAAACTAATTATCTTAGTGTTTAACTTGTTTCTGAATCTGCGCGTATATTAAAGATTACAATTTTTCAAAAAATTACGAAATACCGACAAATATAACTACATCCTAAGGGAAAAAGGAGATAAAAAAAACTTTAATTTAATCGTAAATAATAAAAACGTTTTCTTCTTGCTTTTGAAGAGTTCTTTTATTGTTTCTAATAAGAGTAGGTTCCCAACCCCCACCTTCGATTTTTCTGCAATTGAGATATGTTATATTTCATAAAAAAATAAAAGATCTATAATTATTTTATCGGCGTAAAAAGTTATTAAAAAGTTATCTATCACCAAAAGTCAGCCTTAAAAGCAGTATTATAACAATATTTTTAGTTGTGACGTATATGTTTCAATGGAACTAAAAGAATTAACTAGGACTAGGAAGTTTAATTCCTCTAAAAAAATAATACAACCAGCAAAATTTTGTCTGCGGAGGTGCAACCTATATATCGTATTTCTGTCAAAAACATAATATTTTCAAGTGTTTCTTTTTTATTTTGTTTAACGTTGCTCTATTTATGGTCCATCACTGCTAATCACAATATATTTGAAGACAATTTTTTTCAGTGGTGCTTGGATCAATCAGCAGGGACTGGGAATCGAAGCAGAGCCTACCGGTTGCGAGACCACCGACCTACCGACCGAGCCATTACAGGCCCCATTTTTAAGTGTATTTTCAACTTACGAAAATCAAAAATTATGCTCAAAAAATAAAAATCTTGTTTGACTAGTAGAAAACGTTAAAACAAAATTTACGTATTTCAGCGTTTTCTTATTATATATTATTACAATTAACACCATTTTATACCGAAATCTCCATAATTTCAGCATGGTTTTTGATGAAAAAAGTTCTAAAAACGTTTTTAAACAAATGTTATATATATATATATATATATATATATATATATATATATATATATATATATTAAAAGCGACTCTCTTCTCTATATTAAAAAAGAAAGAAAATACATGAAGATGTAACCATGCGAGTGTGTGTGTGCGTGTGTGTTTGTGTGAGAGATAATGTATACTCTAATTCAAATTTAATTTCTTTCTCTCATGTGCAATTCTTATTTTGTTCTTTGTTTTCTATCGCATTCTTTTCACGCTACTTGATGACTCGGTTTCGTCGTTATCAGCATAGTGAACGGTTACATGCACTCTCATTCTTTTTAATACAGAGAATTTAATATGAAGAATAAAGATGTTCTTCATATTAAATTTATATTTAATTAATTAATTAATTTATTTATTAATACAATAGTATTTATTACAATAGTATTTCTAAATACAATAGTATTAATAAATAAATTAGTCGCCTCATGTAATATCATGATAATAATTAAGGTCACCAACTCTTCAAAATACCCCCGTAGGATCATCCACATCTGGGAACATTTCAGATATACTGAGCGATCTCGTTATCGCGGAGAAGAAAAACAGTCGCTCATGGATGACGCAATCGATGGCGCACCACGCTATAAAATAGGAAAATTTTTCACCGCAGATAACAAAGACCACGAAGATGATGATGACGATGACGATGACTATTATATTATACTTAGTATTTGTATTTGTTACGTGACGTCTTATTATGTTACAAATATATACTATCGAATAAAACCTTGCTCTCGGGATTTCCGTTCGGACATAGCATAGCTAGCAGTATTCGTGTGCGCGACTCGGTGGGAATGAGCGGTAGAGGCTGATTCACGCTGAGCCAGCATGCTGGGACTGCATGCTGCAGTCAGCGTGCTTAGCTAGGTAAGACGACCCGCTACGAGAAGCGTAAACATCCGAAGCATATACGCGAGAGAGAGACGGTATGCTAGGGACAAAGGCTATATAATAAACCAGCGAAAGCAGAGCAAGGCAGAATTAGTCAGTTAGAAGCGAGCGCTCAATTAAGAAGGCCGCATATTCTTTTCCTACTGAAATTAAAACTATAATAGAAGTCTGAGTTTTTAATTGTTTTGAGTTATAATTAAATATTAGAAGTGTCGAGTACGATTGCTTCAATAATTTTGCATAAACAGAAAATCACAGGAATTATCATTTTTTTTGCGTGTGACTACGTTATTGGATAAAGAAGATATTAGACAACTAAAATCATAGCAACTACCATTGTCTTGCGTGTTGCTAAAGTATTGTATAAAAAACATATTGGACCAGTTGAATCTGATCAGATTCAAAGGAAAAGTGATTGGCCATATCACGAAGCGAATAATAATTTGGACCAAATTATATTTACTATAATAATACGAAGTGAGTAATACTATTATATTTTTATGTAACCAAGAAATACTAGATATCGCGACGCGAAAATTACGCGTCTGAGAATATATATATCTCTATTCTGCTTAATTTATTTATGTTATAAAAGAGACTAGAATAAATATTATAATTGTAAACATCCATAAGTGTATCCATATGCTTCCCCACTACATTAAAGAGAATCGCTATTACAATTTTGCTTTTAATAAATAACCGAAGAACGTTATAAACGTTCAATTATTTATTTTACAAAAACGATATCGAGTATCAAATTATAATTAACACATATTTCATTATTGACGCGGGAACGGGCCGGGGTGCCCGAAAGCCTGACTACCACCCGAGTCTAAGGCCGCTCGGCTGTTAAAAGAGCCTTCGTACGGGACAAACTCGACTCGCGCGAGTTGTCACCTATCAGTTTTTTATAAATTTGTATATTAAATGTTCTTTTGTATTTTTTAAGTTTATTGTAATAATTATGTATGTGTGCGTACATATACGAGATATTAAACAATTAATTATAAAAGTCCAACAGATTTTTAAAAAAAGCTGCGCAGGTGGGTTAACCGATCTTGGCGGCGATTTTTTCTATGGTAGTACACGCAACAAGAGGACTTTTGGCTATCTCAGTTTTTTTTTAATATATATATCGAGATATATACATATAAATAGGTGACAAAATGGGCCTTTTTTTGGCCATTTTTGAAGACCCATAACTCCGTGAGTTTTGAAGATATCAGGATGGGCCACCACGCATTCGATTTGTCTTTTCATTTACTTTTGAAAACATGGCGGTCCAAAACCTGAAAATACACTCTGCTGGATGTGCCCACTTGTTCATTGCACTCAGAATTGCTTGATTTTGAATCATACTCACGGGCTCATAGTTTCGTCACTTTGTCGCTTTTTGAAAAATTAGACGATTTTTTTTGTTTGCCTTGAAAAGAGCTTTAATTTGCGACCCCGTCCATCTCGCTAGCTTAATTAGTACCAAATATATACGTATTCAAAGTTTGCTATTATTCCGAAAATAGCAAAATATTGCTATTTCGAAAGTACATTTAAAAAATACGAACATCATCATTTTCATCAAACAAGGTTTTTCTAAGCATCTCTAGTATTGTAGAAAATAGTCCTATAATAACATCGGCGGACTTTTGCTTCCTTGTTGACTTATGTGATTTTTCAAAATCACTAATTTCTAGTATTTTGAAAAATTATCTACGGTTTACTATTGTAATTAAAATTGTAATAATGACTTGATTTCATGGTATTTCACTTTTAGTTCCTGTTTCACAACTAGAACTGCATCAGCACGTTTTGCTTACTGTGGTTTGCATGTGCTATTGGGGTTTGACCTGTAGAGTGACGCGACTTCTCGTGCCGATAAGCAGAAACAAATGAAATTAAGGCTCAACATGGGCAGGAATGGGAACAAGTAGTAATTGTTGAAAATTATTGATATTAGACGAAATGTGTAAATTGGACGATGTCAATGATAAATTAGGGCGATTTAGTGGAGATAGGTGAACACCAATTTTTCCAAAAAAAAATCGTAAATCATCGTTAAAGTGTCCCTATTACTTTTTTACATCAACCAATTTGCATATTTCGTTACAAAATATCGATAATTTTGATAATTAATACTTATGTTGACCATGTTAATCTTTACGTCTGTTTTTCCTTGCCGACGTGAGAGGTCGTATCAGTCTATAGGTCCGACCCCAATTGATTGAGTTGTAGGTTGTAGTCGACGTTAAGTAAAGAAGCCGAAAGCTAATAGATTTATTTTAAGAAATAAATATTTAATCCAATAATTTTACGCTGCCCTATCAATTCTTCATAAGCTTATTGATTGCTCAGTCTTTTCGTACATATTGACGAAAAATAGATAATTAAATTTGTTTATTAAACCATTTATTTATTTCTTCTTTTATATATTCATGAGAAATCGAGCAAACCAAAACAACCTATGAGCATTCGATTGGCGAGCTTAAAATTATTGAAAAAATCATTTTATTAGCAGAGCGGTTTGTGTTCGCTTCATTGCTTGCAGCTGAACGTAAGTATCAACGATAGTAAATCAAAAATTCTAATGCAGCCCTATAGATCGTTGGAGAGTGTTACCGAAATCTACATATATAAATATTTTTTGTTATTATAATGTGAAAAATGTTATTTGAATAGTTTGTATAAATCAATTATTCAAGTGTCAATGCACTGATTTTTGTTTTTCTGCAGGCTGCTCTAGTAAGTGTTTTTTAGTAATTTTATTTTTGAGTATCTGTGGCTTACTTAAAAAGGCCGGCTAGCCAAACAAAATTTTTTTCTACGTGATCCATGAATCTTATCTTTATTTCTTATTGATGAAATTGAAATATTTCGAGACTTAATATGTATACTTTTATACTTTTTATAAGATTACACGGAAAGAGTTCATACTATATCAATTATATTAAAAACTGACAATATT